GACTGTTATTTCACTTCCGGTGTCTAGCACGGCCGTTAGCTCTTGGTCGCTGGAGAAAAGTTCGACTAGGATCAGTCCTGAACTTCTGGGTCCCCACTTGTCATTCTTATCTACTGCAGCCGTTGGCTGTTGAGGGAAACTCAAAACAGCAGTTCTGTCCCCTACCATCACTCCCTGCACGAGTGGCTTTCGAGCCGTTTCGTCTTGCTCTTTGCGGTTAGGGCAGTTTCGCGAAATGTGCCCGCTTTGGTTGCAGCCAAAGCAACGAGGCGAAGTGCGAGGAGGGCTCTGCTTAGAAGCGTCGGTCTCTGGCTTCGAGCCGTCGCCTCTGACTTCTATGCCCCTCGCCGTTCGTCCGTCTCTTTCTGCCTCCTCGTACATCTGTACCACCTTAGCTAGCTCGTGCGCCTGCAGCCACTTTGTCTCTTCACGCAGCGTGACGTGCCGGAGACACTCCTCACTGAGGCTCGACTTCACCTGGTCTGCGACCATCAGATGAATCAGGTCCTCTTTACTCTCTACATTGCGCGCCTCCAGGTAGTAGCTGAAATAGCTCGCCGTCCTCGAGGCGAACTGCGCCCACCCCTCGTCTTTTCGCTTACGCGCGCCGGCAAACCGCTTCCGGTACTCGCCAGGGGTGAGTCGGAGCTCGTCCAGGACGGCGGCCTTGACCGTGTCGTAGCTAGCTATCTCCCCCGCAGATAACCTCGTAAAAAGATATTTAACTCTTTCTGACAACGCCGGCATTATCAGATGTACTCGGCTCTCATTCGGCACTCCGTAGGCCGCGAACATCTTTTCGACACCGTCGAACCAAACAGGAACTTCCGCGTCAGGTGGCAGTTTCTGATTTTTAAGAAGTTTCGCGCATTGCGAAACAGGGTCCAGCCTGCCCATTCCCGTCGTCACGGTAGCCGCCCCACCGACACTCGGTCCACGCATTGCCGCGATTCTTTCCTCGCTCTCAAGCTTGAGTTTTAATATGGCAATTTCGTGCTCGTGCTCCATGCGCCGCATGGCTTCCGCGTGCGCATGGGCAGCGCGCTCGTCGGCGGACCGACTTTCTGACCCTTCCGCTCCTCCGTCGGTCCCTTTGTCCCCTTCCGCAGTTTTCGCTTTATCCCCCGATCTCTTCATCTTTTCCTGCACACTGACTCCTACGTCTGCACACACACCAAAGAGACGTGAAGGTTCCACTCACCGGCGCCGCGGAGTCTCCCTTGGACTGGATGGCACGGGGTGACAGTGGGCTCCCTTGACGCTAGTCGGTCTCTGATGCGTGGGCTCTCTGCGGTAGTCGTTCTGTTGCCGCTCGATGATGTTTCTTGAATTTTAATGTCGCCGAAGCCAATCCTGTCGACTGCGCCAGTACGGGTTCTTTTTTTCCTCTGGTCACCTTGCGCCGTCCAGACCGCCAGGTCCGGATGGGGTGACGGGCTTCGTTGTGGGAAGCTGGGCGGGTCTTGCCGGAGACGAAGTTGCTTCCCTTGGCTGTCGACGACTAATTCAGTTGACTTTGGGAATTACTTTTAAACAAAACAATTTAATACTTTTGAAACGAATGAAAATACAAAGAAAAACGATACTGCAAAATGGTAACTTCCCCTGTACGGGTTTGGGAAGGAGGTGGTCGGGTGTTAGCTTCTCCAAGCTCGGGAGTTGGCTGGCTCGTGGGATTACGTCCCGATTACGGGGACAGAAGTCCCTCGGAATCCCACGACCTGACTCGATTACGGAGCGACAGCTCTCGAGCCCCAGCACAAACTGACCTCACTCGCTGAGTTTCTAATCCCAGTTACTCGTTGGTCCGTCCCCTTTTTGTGGACCGGCGAATCCTCGACGCGTTGTGAGACAGGCGTTTCCCACCGCCAACCAATCGGCTCACCTTCTCGCCACGTGGGAATTGCCTGCATTCCCGGGTGGGAACCCGCGGTCTGCGTTCATCTCACGGTCAAAGGTCGGGCTGGTTCGGATGCAAGCAAAGCCATTTCTCGCATGGCAAAGCGGACAACCGACCCCAGTGTGGATAGCGCCGACTAAGTGAGCCATCCCGCAATTCATTCTGCCAGAGGCGGTCTGACGTTGCCGTTCTGCCGCGACCCCCCACACTCGGGCGAGAAAGACTAAACCGATGTAAACGCGCCGTGTAAACAGCGCCGGCCAGAGCCACTGCGCTCTGGTGGCGGTGGTGGTGTAACTTTACTTTTCCGGCCCGGAACGCACGCTCCGATTCTCTCGGCAGAAAACGCGCGCCCCGAACCCCGCGTCGTAAAGTACGCCTGTCTCTCGAGGTCGCCCGCCAAGGGAAGTGTTTACAACAGCGCTTTCCCCCCAGTCAAATCTCCCTGGTGCTAACGGCCCACCCGCGGAGCTCTCGTCGATCCTTACAGCAATCTTGTTCAGCGACAAACAAGTGTTCATTCAGCTGTGAAGCATTGAAGTGGATATAAAATCTGCATAGCGTTTCAGAGCAAGAAAAACAGCGGTACGATTGACAGGATTGCGGGCGCTACGCGGGCGCGTAGGAAGGCGACAAGGCTTACTTTGATGAGAGCCACACGGAAAACGTTGACACCAGCCACACACGCTGTGCAGGGCTATCGTTCTCGCTTCTTGAATTATGGTTGAAAAGCACTGCGCATTAGCACTGCAAGTACTCCACGTGTACACGGTTTCAATTACGGAACAGAGCAGCGAGGCCTACTTCATTCGAGCTTGGGTAGAGAATCGCCGAGGTTGGAGCAGTCGAACTGTGGACATCGGCATGCTCGAAACTTCTGCTACCGACTTTTATGCGCGTGATATGCGGAATAACTCAATGGATATGCACTGGCAGATGAAACAACGCGTCCACTAAGTCACCACGGACCACGGCACCAAAGTATCCGCCGGAGTGTAGCAGACGCTCCTGCCGCCGACCGGCGCCGTATGTGCGTCGCCGTCAATATTTTGTGCGGCAGTAATCTGGCCAATCAGAGCACGCCGCTCCGCGGCAGATCTGGAATGGCCAGGTTTTGGAAATACGCGGCCCGGTCTCCCGCCGGTGCCGGGGAGGCGGGGACGTTGAACATCCTCGTTCGGCCCTTTTCGGGTCCGGCGCCCCGATTTCGGCCGGAAACCGGTCCCAACACCCTCTCCCCCGGCGCAAAAGACGGCCGGCGTTTTCGCCGGGAGAAAAAACGGCTGTGTGATACGCACATTCGCGTTTGAACGCGTTTGAGTGCGTTGCGGAGTCCTTGCGGCCAGGCGCGGTCGCTTGCGGACCGACGCGCGCCTTCCCGCGACGCTCGGTAGCGCGACGCAAGCGAGTAGAGACTCGCTCAACTTTTCGAAGCGTTGCGGTGCGTTCGGGCGCGTTCGACCAATCAGAAGCCGAAAGAGGAGAGGGGGTGACGTGTTCGCTCCGGCCGACTCGGCGAGCCGGTTCGCCGGTCCCAGTGCTTGCTTTTTCGTTTTGGGGAGCAGTGGACACTGCATTTTTCAAGGCTGCGATGGTTCAAGCTTGACAAAGCGTCGGGGAAGCCGGCGAGATTGTCCCAAGATCGAACGCTTCGACGCTGTCGCCGTGCACCGCCATGTTGCCTTGGATTTCGCTTACTATTGGTGAGCCACTAGCGACGATAGCGCGTTCTTATTGGCTCTTGATTGCGGTTGACTGCGTGTCAACGCAACTGTGCGTACAAGTTTGGCGCAAGCGGTCTTCGCAACGCAACGCGTCCGCTTGCCGCTACGGAACGCACCGCGCTCAAACGCGAATGTGCCTATGGGCCTCTAGGCGCCCGTTTCCGGCTTGGGCGGCGTCGCCGACGCCGTCGCCTTAACCCCGCGTTGCATTATGGGAAACATCCCATAATGCAATGGGCTGGTCTCACTCGTGACCTGTGTCTTGCATCATGGGGCGTTTTCGACAATGACGTCACACGTGACGTCACGTGTGATGTCACGGAATCACGAGTGACGTCACAAGGATCCCGCGCGTTGCGTTATGGGAAACGTCCCATGATGCAACGCGCGGGTCTCAACCGTGCCCCGCGCGTTGCATCATGGGACGTTTCCGATGACTTCACACGTGACGTCACCTGTGACGTCTTGAGAGTGTCGCGCGTTTCAATAGGGAAAATATCCTATGATGCAACGCGCGGGTCACTCGTGACCCGCGCGTTGCATCACTGGACGTTTTCCATAATGACGTCACAAGTGACGTCACGAGGGTTACAAGTGACGTCACGACGGTCACGAGGGTTACAAATGACATCACGAGTGACGTCACCACTGACGTCACTAAAGACATTCGTGAAGGTCACGCGAAGGTCACGACCTTCACGTGACCATCACTCCTGAAGGTCACGAGTTTCACGAGGCCTTCACGAGTGACGTCACGAGGGGGAGTGAAGGAGAGTGAAGATGATGGGCACAAGGAGGAGGAGAGGAGAAGGAGGAGGGGCATACTCTTCTCTCCATACTCTTCCCTCCTCCTCCTCAAGGGCTGCGCTCTAATTCCGCGTTACAAGGAGTTGTAAAGGTCTTTCTTTTTTTTTTCGTAATCTTAGCGGTTTATTTTTCACTCCCTTCGCTATTCAGATTCCATTCGAGATGAAATTTCACTATTCATGCATCTCTAAAGTAAATACACGATTGATGTATTAGTGAAGATTTCTCCAACAGACTATATATTGAACAAGCAAGTTATCTTAGGCTATGGTTTAGTCGTCTCGTTTTTATGATTATTTTTTATTTATAATGTCCAAATTTTGGTGTGGACATTAGGCACAAATTTCGGACGGAGTTTAAATAAATAAAATATTGTTGCCTCAGTTTTATAGTAGTCGTTTTTTACAAATACCTGTTTTGTTTCGACAAGTTATAATTTCTACAAATCGGCCTAGTGCAAATCACCCTATTTGACGAATACTCTTTCCGCCAGTTGTCCGTCGACGAATGGGCGTTCGACAAATCGTCCTAAACCCACTGCTAAAAAGCGGCTTCGACCGGTTCTGCAGGAAAATCCCAAGACCGCTCCCGTGCTGCTCTGGTTGCAGGGTGGACCCGGCAGCTCTTCCATGCTCGGCCTGTTCGTGGAAAACGGGCCGTACCTTGTCGACAAGGGAGGAAACCTCCAATTGCGGAAGGTCACGTGGGCGCGGCGCTATTCCATGCTCTACGTGGACAACCCGGTGGGCGTGGGCTTCAGCTTCACGCAGCAGGACCGGGGCTACGCCCACAACGAGAGCGATGTAGGCCGGGATCTCTTCGAGGCGCTGCAGCAGTTCTTCACGCTCTTCCCCGAATACGTCGGCAACGACTTCTACGCCACCGGGGAGTCCTACGCAGGTACGCATCTTCAGCTTACCCATACAAACATATCGTATAGAAATCTTTCGAATGGTTGACGACAAAAAATTGGCCGAATCCGCTATAGCATTTCTATCGCTGTCTTTAGCTTATCCTACGGTCGCTCGTAAGCTTGGTCCTTAGCTCACCCTATGATCCGTCTTGCTGTTGGACTCTTTAGTGGTTTTATGGATAGCTAAAGAAAATTTTATGGTGTATGGTTGTCTAGCTTTCCATCTAGTCCTGTATGAGCCTTTAGTTAATTCTATCGTTAGCTATAGGAGCCTTTAGTTTATCTATCCTTACCTAAAGACGTTTCTATGGCTTATTTGTGGCACGTTAAAGGGACCCTGCAATCATATTTAAGCGTCTACCTTTTTCGCGGTTTCCACGTCTCTTGGAGTTTGGGAAATCCAGCGGGCACGGAGAGAGTAATTAAATATCAGAGCGTCAGTTCAAACGGACGACGCGGAAACCTCCTCCACCTACGGGGTCAACCCGCGGTACCGAATGGCCTTACTACTGGTCAGAGCCGCTAAAAGCTTCTTTTTAGTCGAAATACAAAATATATTGGCGCGAACCGTTTCAATTATTTATAAAAGTAGTTTTTGTTCAGTACTTTAGTTCAGAAAAGAAACAAATGCAGTTTATAAAGTACGGAAAGAAGAAATGACCCGTCGGACATACCCGCCACTAAGCGGTGGAAGAGGCAGCGCATACTCGAAAGGAGTAGTGGGATCAGGCGCCGACACACATAAATCCCGGATGTATGTGGCGGCGCTGCGGTCGTATCGACTGGAGGATCCGACCGGCTCCGAGCCTTCCGAAGGCCTTCGGCGAGCAGCATTGTCTTGAGGTTTGGCCGTTTTGCGGTATGGCAGCGCGAAGTGGCTCCAATTTTGGACCGATCTGTACCCCGTGTTTGCTGTCGTTTGTGGTCAATGAAGTGTCATGCCGAAATAGTGTTTAATCGCGCAGCAAATGCAATGAGAGCCGCTCTGGCTGCCCGCAGCATACAGCCTATCCAGAACATGCTTTAGTGGCGCCCCCTCGCGCCTTCGACACGGAGTGCGGCAGCCGTGAGCGCTCGCTTAGCTCACTACCCCTTTTCCAGTTCACCGCCACTTAAGCAACCAATTACGTCATGAAGAAGATTATTTTTGCTTGTTTTTCTAATTTTAATTTGCCTATAACTTTTAAAATAAAGCGAAGTTTGAGAAAAGAAATGTTTCATTAAGTAACTGCGTTCAATGCGCTCAGGTTTGGTGCAAATTAAAAATCAGTTAAAAAGTCCTTGCAGGGCCCCTTTAACCGGTATGCTATACCTGCCAATGGATTTTTCTTTGGTTTTCTTGGCTGTCTATAGATATTTCTATGAGCTGTTCAAAGAATTCTATCGCTTATCTAGTAGTTCCCTCTAGTCAGTATGCTGTAGCTGCCTATAGTTTTGAGCTTGGTTTTTTTAGCCGTCTGTAGCTTGTTGTATGGTCTGTTAAACAATTCTTTATTTTGTACCCTATAGTTCTCTTAGCTGGCATTGCCATAGCTATCTATAGTTTTTGTGTGGTTTCTTTAGCCGCCTATAGATTTTTGTATGGTCTTGTAAAGAAGACTGGATATCTTATCCTATAGCTCTCTCTAGCCGGCCCTGTTATACCTGCCTATGTTTTTTCTTCTTTTGTGTCTTCGGCCTTAACGTGTCAGGCGTCTTGATGCGTCCGGCGCTTCGAGGTGTCTGGAGCCCTGACTCGTCCAGCGCTTTAACGTATTCGGCGCCGCGACGCGTCCGGCGCAACAGGCGCTCTGACGCGTCCGGTTCTCTGACGCGTTCCGGGCCCTGACGCACCCGGCGCTCTGAAATGTCCGGCGCTCTGACGCCTCCGGCCCCCCGACGCGTCCGGCGCCCTGACGTGTCAGGCACTTTAACGCGACCGGCGCTCTGGCGCATTTGGCGCTCTGGCGCGCCCGTATTTGGCGCGCCCAGGGCTGATGCGTATATGCTCCTTGCACATGACGTCATTTCCGATGCCCTCCAGAGAAGAGGGGGAGAAGGAGCTCCCCTGTTATCAGGACCCTCCTTTGTGCCTTCTGGATTTGCACAGGCGTCGCTATTCTCCTCCCAGAAGATTATAGAAGATTAACCCGTCACTCAAAATTCTTACAAAAGCAGCTTCCCTCTCCTCCTTTTACTTGGTGTGCAAATGTGTGCGATGTGACGTCAATGCAAGGAGCCTATAACAGCCTTACGCGTCCGCTGCTTTGACGTGTCCGGCGCTCTAACGCGTGCATCACCCTAACGCGTCCGGCGTTCTGACACCGCAGCACTCTAAGAGATCAGCGCTCTAGCGCGTACGGTGTTTTGATGCATCCGGCGCCCTGACGCAACCGGTGCCCTAACGGGTCCGGTGCTCTGACGCGTCCGGCGCCTTGACGCATCTGGTGCTCTGACACGTCTGGCACTCTGACGCGTCCGCGCCCTGACGCGTCCGGCGCTCCGACGTACCTGGTGCCCCGACGTGTCCGGCGCCCTCATGCTTAAGGCGCTCTGACACGTCCAGTGCTCTGACGCCTATATCGAAAAAAAAAACACTTCACCTCTGATGTGTTATGGCACCTTCTCAGCACTTCAAACCCCTTCAGCCATTCAAACACCTCCAGCTCTTCACACCCTTCAGCCTTCCAGGCTACATGACCCTTCAACACTTTAGACGCCCAAATGACTGTGAACCGTAGACGTTAATGTAAATTTATTCAGACATTGAGTTTCACATACTTGTTGTAACTCATAAAGACAATAACAACCAACGTTTACTCAGACCAGTGTGCAAGCAGCTGTAGACGAAAGGGATCCTATGAAATAGAGACAACCGAGTTGTTTGTCGCAAATAAATACCTCTCGAGGTACTCACAATGCCGCAGGGTAAATTCCAGAGATGTACGGTTGTCCAACTCATAAAATTGAGCAGTTGCACCACGTACGCATTCATACACACTTTCAGTAGCACCTTTAGAGAAAACCACGAGCACGCAACCAACATATCCGCCGCCGTTGAGAAATCATGAGCACAGTCACGATGTCGTCCCATGGTGGCGTCGCGGTGGCGCTTCCGGTGTATTTTTCGATCGCTGGATGCTTCTGAAGTAAAACGGACAAAGAGGCACAAGAAACAAAGCACACCTTCTTGATCTGCGCACCCAGCTGTTTTAGAAGAGAGGTCACACGCATGGAACGGGAAGCTGACACCGAGCGTCCGCTGGTTGTTGCGCGTTTAGCTTGCTCTCGTTGGCAGGGAAAAAAACCTGGTGACTAGCTTCTGTCGAAGACGAAGGCTGTATTTCGACTGACGAAAATCAGGTTATCTTCAAAAAAAAAACAGAAAAAGGCCCCCCATTCATTTCCTCACGCGCCCTCTCTCCCTTGTGAGCGGGGAGTTGGCGTCCTTGGGTGCTCCTTGTCCAGCCCGTAAAACACGTACACAAAACACACAGACACAGCGACGGGGAAGCGTTAGCCAAAGTGACAAAAAAGAACGGTAAAACGTCTCCTCGATTTCCCAAAATCGTTGCGGCCGTCAGATACAAAATGGCAAAGCGGCTACCCCGACACATATATCCAGAAGGGCCACGTTACCTCTCCCACAGACCTGTTAAAACGATTTTAGTGGGTGCCGTGATTTAACAGAAAGGATTGAAACAGACCCTATAGCCCTCTCAAAAAAACATGACGAGTCTCTAAACCCTTTAGGAATTTTTAGTAAAGTAGCAATTTGCTAAATTTGGGTCTCGTGGATGTATGAAGGGGCTTTACGCAAGTCTAAAGCCCCTTTATGCTTCAAAAGTAGCTCAAGGTTCGTCGATGCACGAGGTACGTGCAACGTGCAGCCTAGTGCCACTAAATAAGCTACGCTTCAGAGTAACGACACTTGGCCATATTGTGTCTTAAAATCATGGTTGCCAGTTATCTGAAGCATTATCTGAAATCACAGGAAACGCTTTTCTGTCCTCCACAAATGTTTAGACAGGTCGCGGCAGAGCAAAGCAATATTACATGACCTTCCTAACACCGAATCTAATGCTGAGGAAGTCGCACTTTCAAATCATGACAATCGGCAGTTGCGTCTGCTCTGCATACGAGCCAAAATGGCGGCGCCCACAACAATGTAGGGGAACGGAGTGCCGATACTCTAAGCGCAGCTTATTTAGTGGCTCTAGTGCAGCCCTTGGGAAGATCATGGCGGCACAGCGCAGCACTGGGCTAGATTTCAGACGCCATGAATTCCTCAGAAGTGGCGCGCGGCACGTGTCTCGAGCATTTCCACAACAATGAATGGCGCCACTTTTCCCAGGATAGAGGGGCTTTACGCAAGACGCGACCATGTTATGCTGGCTAAAAAGTAGCGCCATTGCCTTCCGTACCTGCTAGCCGGACACAAACGGATACTAACATACAGACGATCCAAACCTCGCAAGGCGATTGGCTAATCGGCCTAGGTTGCCATAGAAATCGCCATCTTGGTCCATTTAAATCTTCGAAGCTTCCAGGGGGTCGTTCTAAACTAGTCGCGCAACGATCACCATGGAGCATCATCGTACTGGAAGCGTTCCTCGTCAATATAAGAGTCTTTGGCACTTCCTATGCGATCAACTTATTAATCATGCCCATCTCCATGGATCTCTTACAATTATATTGTTCTTCTTGCGCATTTCAAGACAGTGAACTTATTTTTCAGTGCCTCCAAGCACCGACACACCATTTGTTGGAGGTACGAAGGTGTACGCTTGTTTCGCCGGTGTGTGGTTAGCAGAATCTCGGTATACAAAACACCACCCCATAAAGCTACCCGTCACCAGCGATACTAGATCGGCTCACCAAGAACGGAGGAGTCAAGGAGAAATTGCTCATTTCACGGACCAAGATGGCGACCACATAGGGAGCTTGGCGTTATTTTCCAGGATCCAGTGACTTTAATGCTGGCTGCACCGTCCACGCGATACGACCA